CCCCAAGTGCAGAATCACTGCGGGTCAAGGCATGGAGCCAGGCTGCCCTCTTCACCCAAGAGACCTGCCTCCACCGGACCCCATAAGTGCGTGTCCACCAGCAAAGCCCCACTGCATTCCCTAGCTGTTGGATCAGGCCCTTCCCCATTTCTGACAGCCCAGTCGCTGGGGTGTGGGACATTCCCAAGCACTTTCCCCAGTGCTCAGCCCTCTTGCCCTGCCCCAGGGTGGACAGACGCCTTGTCAGAGCCACTGCTCTCAGCAGGGTGCTGATGGCTCCTGCCACACATAACCCAGCCAGGCAGAGGAGCAGCTACAGCCATTAAAGGAGCCCCACAGAGAGATACAGTGAGGTTGTGCCCCCTTTGGGGTGCTGGGCACAGGGGCCTGGCAGTTTTGATGTTTAAAGGCGTCTCTCTCCTTCAGCTTGTTTTTCCCACGAGGGCAGGACTTTTCTACCTGTCTGCATGCCTGGCAAGCTGCAGGGCTGGCAGGGTCCCCCCACCACCGCCAGCTTGGAAGTGCCACCAGGCCAGGGAGAGGGGCGTGGGTGTTACTGGATTCTTTAGAACGCGTTGGTCTGACTGGTGCCTATTTGACTCGGCCGCCCTGCAAACAGCTGGGAGACATGATCTCTTCGTTAAAGACTCAGCGCCCTGCCTCGCAAGTATGGGCTGAGTCAGCTCGCGGTCCCCTCCTCAGACTCTCCCAGCCCACTCTCCAGCAACAGCAGGACAGATGAGTCTTGAGACCCCTGTTATTTCTAAGGTTAAAAAATAAGGAAGGACACCCTTCCTCACCCTTATAACACAGCAACAAAACCCTGGCAGGCTCCTGGAGGAACGGCCCTGCAGGAGGAAGAGAAAATCATTTCCTTTATTTTTAACCCAGCTTTAAATAGGCAGCAGATGTTTCTCTTTGTGGGTCTCCTGGAAGCCTTGTCTCGCCCCAGGGGCTCGCAGGCAAAGGGGCATTCTGGGCCACAACCAAATCAAGGGCGACCGGCTTTACACAGAGATTGGCTGCCTCTCATCTTCAGTCCCCAACTGTCGGGCTGGGGGCAGGGATCACCCGGTGCTGTTCCCAGGTCAGACTGGATGGTCACAATAGGCCTTGGGGCCTCACAATTTAGTGATCTGGTGGGGCAAAGGCAGGCAGAACTGGTGACTAGGGATCTCTGTTTGGGGCCGCCTCACCCCACAGACAAAGCCAAGGTCACCTCAGCTCTCCTGCGGGTACGTCCCCAGGCAGCTGTGAGGATGCCTCCCGGCCTGGGTAGACAGACATGTACTAGCACGATAAATACAGCAGCCCTGGGCAGCGGCTCAGGCTACATACCCAGGGTGGCTGGCTCCTCCTGCAGCACAGGCCACTGTGGCCACACTGTGGGTAACTCAAGCAGAGCTAGCACGTGTCTGTGCACTTGGGCTGGGAAAGAGTCACTATTTACTGGTGTTCCCACCCACGGCCCCCTCGTCTGTCGCACTAGGTCATTCCTCTGTGCCCTCCAGGTTGGCTGCGTGGGCAGCGTAGGACGGGGAGTGGTCTCTCTGTTCAATCTGCACTTTAATGATGGACTTCTTCTGCTTGGACATGGTGGCCGTCACCTGGATCTCCTGGTTGGTCACCTCCAGCTGGCCATCCTTGGCATCAGTGAGCCTCGTTTTCTGGAAGGACTCGCACATATAGGGAGGGTCGTGGCTGTACATGTAGTGGTAGAGGCGATCCATGCTGTGGAAGTGCTTCCTGCCAGTGAAGAGCTCGAGGGCAAACTCGATGTCATAGAGCATGTGGTTGAAGGGGTTGGAGAACATGATGGCCAGGGTGAAGGCGTTGGACTCGTAGCTCAGCACCCCGACGCTCCCGCGGGCCGTTGATCTTGTTTTCACAAACAGGAAGCTCCCCGAGGAGCCGGGGGGGATCTGGGGCACAAGGTCTATCATGGCCCAGCCGCTGAAACAGTAATTCCTGGAGGAAAACACCACGTGGTTCCTTCATTACACAACATCCCGAACAATAATTAATAACTGCATCCCAGCAGCAGGGGAATCCTGACCCTAGGGGCTGGGGTGGGTCACAGCCCAGCTGCTTTTCTGCAGAGGGGATACACAGGTCGCTGGACAAGAGAGCACAGCCCCACCTTGGCCAGTCCCCAGGGCAGAGGGGTCTTTCCTGCGTGACCAATGCACAAGGTGATACCGGTTCCTAGCTGGTAAAATGTTATGTGGTCATGCACATTATGTTGTTAATTACAGTTTAGAGGTCATACACAGTCAGACAGACATATCATACAGCTGCATAGGAGTGTGTGTATGTGGGTATATGTGTGTGTACATGCGGGTATGTGGAGGTGGTGAACTAAATACACTGAACACCTTTACAATTAATCACACGTCTATTGCCATGTCACCTGCCCCCAGTCCATCTCCCTGGGACTTACTCGCCAACCTCCCAAGTGGCTTCCAACAGCCGTTCCCTCTCAAATCAACTGGCCAGGGAAATGTTTCCCCACACCCTGAAAAAATGTGTTTTTTCCCCCTAAAATACCCTCAGCCCTAGTCCTGGACACACAAAATATCCTGGCTTGAAGGTCCAATACAATCTTGTGCCCCTGCAGGGATAGACACTTCCAATTTAACCCAGAGGGCAGGGGGATTTGTGGTGACCCAATGGGGCATACAGCGCCGACCTAATATACAGGAATGGACAGATGGGGTGTATGGGGACGGACAGACAGATATTCAGTAGCAGACACATACCCCACGCCCTGGCACATCTGTATAGACACCAGTCACAGGCTGACTTGGGAAGCTGCGTGGAGGGGGCTATGAGAACCTGCTTACCTGGGGTACTCAAGGGTCACGTCTCTGGTGTTGTTGGTTATCTGGATACCCACACACCGGCCTGCATCCACCTCCTGAACCAGCCTTTCAACGTTAGTCATCTCGCAGCAATGAGGGATTGTTCAGCAGCAGCTCCCACAGAGCACCACCAGCCCCTCTCTGGGCAGAGCCGACTCACTGCCCTCCCAGCCCCTGCCTAGCACCAGGTCCAGTGCTCAGCGTGTGCTTCATGCTAGCTGAGGTGGAGTCCACACTTTGCCTGTGGGGGCAGGGCTGTGGACAGGCAGGATGTGGGGGGGGAAGGAAGTGTGGGTGGGGGCTAATCTGCAAAAGGAAATCCGGGCTAATCAATCTCGGGGAGAGCCAACACAATGGTTGAGGAGGCTCGTTGCCAGTTCTCGACAATCAGTTTGTCCTGCTCCTTACAGGGATCTACATGACCTGTACCAGTGCAGGACGGGGACCCGGGGCACCTCTGCTGGCAGCTGAATGGGCAGCCATGGGCACACAAAGCAAACCCGGTGTTGGAGGGGCATAGGGAACGGGACGGCCGTACCAGGATCCTGTGTGCAGAAAAGGACAAGAATGGTCCAGGAGCTGGAAAAGCTTTGATACAAAGACAGCTTGGAAAGCCGGGGATTGTTACCTTAAATGGGATGGAGGAGAGAGGACAGGAAAGAAGATCCATAAATAATGAAGGGTCAGCAGAGAGATGATTGGGAGCTTCTGGTCTCCCTGTCTCATCACAGAGGAAGGGGACTCTCAATGCCACTAAAAGATGGGAAATTCAAAACCAAGAAATGGAAATCTTTTATCACATGACATGCAATTTGCCAGTGGAACTCACTGCCACAGGAAGTCATTGAGGCCAAGAATTTAGCAACATTCAAAATGAGATTAGAGGAAGTGTCACTCAGTGGCTAGCACATTGGACAGGAACTCAGGAGTCCTAGGCTGTGCTCCTGGCTCTGCCACTGGCCTGCTGGGTGACCTTGGGAGAGTCATTTTGCAGCTCTGTTCCTCAGTTTCCTCCACCGTGCAATGGCGAAACTATCCCTCTGTCCATCCCCATATACACCTCTCTCCCCATCTGCCCATTCCTCCCCATACTGATCCATCTAGAGTCCATCACTGTAACGTGGCACAGTGGCTCAGCTCTCCACGTGGGCAGTGGGGAGGGTAACTTGGCCCCTCTCTCACCGGGTGCTGTGAGGCTGTAACTCACTGTGGGACCCTGAGGTGGAGCAGGCCGTGGCCCTATGAAGCAGCAGCAGCTGTACAGACTGTTTATCTGCATGTATCATTTTTATATCTGAAGCTGGGAATATTGACCATGTCTCTGTATTTCAAATCCCATCCCATCTCCTAGAACTGGAAGGGACCTTGAAAGGTCATCGAGTCCAGCCCCCTGCCTTCACTAGCAGGACCAAGTACTGATTTTGCCCCAGATCCTTAAGTGGCCCCCTCAAGGATTGAACTCACAACCCTGGGTTTAGCAGGCCAAGGCCAAACAATGTTAGTGGCTTATTGAGGAAATGCACACAAGCATAAGGATTACCCCAGGAACTGTGTGCAATAGAAACCTCTCAGAGATAGCTCGACACAAGGGGAACTGTTTGCCCCTTGAAAGCCAAGGCAACTTGTGCCTTAAGAATCTGCCAGCCTGTTTATCACTCAGGGTGAGAATTTTCTAATTTGTATCCTACCTATCTAGTGTGTTAAGCTCAGTTTGCCGCTTTTGTTTATTTACTAAGGTAATCTGTTTTGTTCTGTTTGCTATCCCTTTAACCATTTAAAATTTATCTGTGGTAAGAAGAGGGTCTGAAACATAAGGCCCTGTATCAGAGGCCTGGTATGGGGCCTGAGGCCTGGGCTAAAGTAGTCAAAACCTTGCTGATAATAAGGAAAGTTAAATTGTGAACAAGAGGCAGGCCCTGCTCACAGAATTTGGCAAGCACAGGACTGGTATTGCAAAAAAACATATTCCTAAGAGGTGCTAGGCACAAAGCACTCACACAAGCACATTCCAGAAACGTGGTACCAGAACACCCCGATAAACACATTCCCCAAAGATAACAGGAACACGCCGACCCATCTTAAGGATAAGGTCAGGATAACAGCATGATGAATAGAGATGTTTAGATCAAACCTACAGGTACAAGGCAATGGGTGGCACCCTGATACATCAAGGGTGATACGTAACTTGTTTATATTGATGTATAAAGATGTATCTCAGAGGGAGTGTCTTTGTCCAGCCAAGGGGGCAGTGAAAAGTCCTGCCACTGACTGAGCTGTGTCCATTGTCATGGGCATACATATGCTAGTGTATCTGTAGACATTGACCCGGAGAGCTAGGATCGTGCTTTGCTAACAATAAACCTGACCAAGCACCTTCACACCTTAATGGATTTTGTGGTCATTGGGTGGTTCGCTCGAGATCTGCTGTGCCAGCTATCTGCGCAGAGATGGGACCCCCCACACACACACACATCTGACAAAACTACCTTTCGTAGTTGTTAAACTTATTTTGTTTATTATTAACCCCAGTTTATGTAATTTCTAACTGTGGGGGGCAAGAAGTCGTGCACATCTCTCTTCAGACTGAGGAAGGGGGCAGATTGTTACGAGCTTGCACTGTGCAAGACAATATTATTTTGGGTTTATCTCCCAAAAGGGCTGTGCATGTGAGTGCTGGGGGAGTCCTCTCACACAGAGCTGACTTCAGTCTGTGTCTGCAGTGGGGTGTGGCCCTATCTGTGTGTGTGTGCTGCAAGAGGCCAGAGAGCCTAATTCAGCAAAGCAGGGAGAGGGAACCCAGGCTGGTCGAGCAGGAGAGTCTCAGTGAAATCCGAGTACATCAGGTGGCACCCCAGAAGGGGGGGTCTAACCCATCACAGTGATGCAGCGAGCAGGGTGGCAGGGTGCTTCCAGGTGTGGGAGAGGCAGAGTCAGGCCTCTGCCTAACTGAAAGCCACAGGTCCCCAGGGCCGGGGGCAGGAGGGATGTTTTCAATGTCTGAGGACATTATCCCAAGTATTAGCTGTCAGGAATTTGCAGCTAAGCGAAAGACTGACCCGCTCTAGAGAGCATAAGGAAGTGTGTCCTAGAGGGAACTCCAGGAAGGTGGGGGGGGGGGGAGAAGTTTTTTGAAGAGGACAGGAAACTGTATAGGGAGGCTCCCATGGGAAGGAACAATTGGTTGTACCAGCCAGCACTGGGGGGAATTAACGCTGCGGGTAACTTTGGGGTACAGAGGACGTATGGCAGGCTAAGGAGGAATTTCTACTGGCCAGGAATACAGAATGATGTGAGCGATTATTGCAGGTCTTGTGTGGTATGTCAGGAGAGGGAAAAACCTGTAGGCCCCCAGAGGGCTCCCCTGCTTCATAGAATCATAGAATATCAGAGTTGGAAGGGACCTCAGGAGGTCCAACCCCCTGCTCAAAGCAGGATCAATCCCCAACCAATCCCCAAGCTTCCCTTACCTGTCATACAGGAGGCATTCCTGAGGGTGGCAATGGACATTGTGGGTCCAATGCCGTGCCCCACTCGGAAAGGGAACAAGTATATCTTAGGCTAGGTCTACACTACAGCGGGGGGTCGACCTAAGATACGCAACTTCAGCTACGTGAATAGTGTAGCTGAAGTGGCGTATTTTAGGTCGACTTACCTGGCTGTGAGGACGGCGGCAAGTCGACCGCTGCCGCGCCGCCGTCGACTCCGCTACCGCCTCTTGCCACGGTGGATTTCCGGAGTCGACGGTAGAGCCATCAGGGATCGATTTTATCGCGTCTTCACTAGACGCGATAAGTCGATCCCCGATAGACCGATTGCTACCCGCTGGATCAGCGGGTAGTGAAGACGTGCCTTTAGTGGTGGTGAATTTTGCCACTAGATATCCTGAGGCAGACGCTCTGTCCAATATAGAAGCTGAGACAGTGGCAAGAGCCCTGCTCACTATATTCAGCAGAGTTGGCTTCCCTAAGGACATTTTGTCTGATCGGGGGGCAAACTTTATGTCACAGTTGTTCAACGAGCTATGGAAGGTGTGTGGCGTGAAACAACTTAAGACTGCCCCTATCACCCCCCAGGCCAATAGGTTGGTGGAAAGGTTCAATGGGACCCTAAAATCCATGCTGGGAATGTATGCCAAGAAAAGATGCCACATTTGGGACCAGTTATTGGCATTCCTGCTTACAGGGAGGTACCCCAAGAGTCCATGGGGTTTTCTCCATTTGACCTTCTATATGGAAGAAAAGTGAGGGGACCAAAACACCTCCAAGAAAGTCAGGCCAAACAAAAGGTGTGGTATGATAAAAATACTTGTAAATGCAATTTTGGCATAGGAGACTTGGTGATGGTATTCAATCCTGCGAAAAGGTTCAAAATGCAAAACTCCTAGGAGGGGCCCTACGAGGTGGTAGAAGTTGCAAATGAGGACATGTATCAAGTTAAAAAGCCCCACAATGATAATGTTCCCCAACTTGTACATGTGAACTGGCTCAAAGCCTACCATAGTAGAGAGGCTGGAGTAAACACGATCTGTTGAGTAAAGGGGAAACTGAGGCACACCCACTCACTGATCTGATGAATGAATGACGAGATGGGTCAACTCTGGAAAATATGGAAATCTGTAATGAATTAACACCAGTCGAAAGGCGGGGAGGTGTTGTAAGTGCTGCAAGGGTAAAGCAAGGTATTTTCCAACTAGCCAGGGAAAATGCACTTGCTGTCCCATAGAATCCTCACAAAAGGGACACAATCCCTTCCCCCCTTCCAGGCCTTGCAGGGCCACCGGTAAGGTGAAAGATCAAATTTGTACAGAGATACAAAATATGTTGGACCTGGGAGTAATTAGGGAATCTGACTGCTCATGGGCATCCCCTGTGGTCTGGTCCCCAAAAAGGATGGCACTGTAAGATTTTGTGTGGGCTATAGAAAACCTAATGCTGTTACTGTAACAGACGCATACCCCATGCCAAGAATTGATGATATGCTGGATGTGCTGAGCCAAGCCAAATATCTCAGTACTTTTGATTTAACTAGAGTTACTGGCAGATCCCTCTGGAGGAAAAGGCAGAACGGAAATTTGCTTTTATCACTGATATGGGGCTCTATGAATTCACAGTGTTACCTTTTGGTTTGGTAAATGCTGGTGTAACCTTCCAGAGATTGGTCAACAAAGTGTTAAATGGTTTA